TTTTTTCATTGTGTTAGACGTCATTTATTCGCTGTACAATGCCCCTGAAATCAAAAGAGCCACGCTACGGCGAGGGAACTAACCATAAGACTGTATTCGGCGGCGGAGAAGAGCTTCTGGGGGAATGAAGATAGCTTACGCACTGTAAAGCTCCTCTTCGTCTACTCTCCTCTACGTCTACGTCCGTCTCTCCCCACGCCCTAAAGGGTTAGTCTACAAAACTAAGCATTGCCTTGACCCTGTTTTGAAGCTGTGTAGAAGTAAGAAAAGGATGGGAATCCAGATTTCACTTACCACAAGAGACGGTGAAACGTGTAGAAGAGAATGAAGAATCGGCATGGAGGACTGTTTGGCGCACGAGTGCGCAAGAAGGCCAGTAACCAAAAAGTCACTACAGTGTCGGACTGTGTGGCTGGAACAATACGCCAGCAGTCGAACTATGCACCAGGTGCCCTCGCGAGCTGGAAAAGTGGAGAGGATCAACGTGCGTATAAGAGGAACTCTCACTCTCCCCTACTCTAGAGTCGATGGTGCATTGTTCGAACTCCTGGAGCATCGCTCTCACACAGTGCTTCGTTCGAGATTCGCTGGATTTGCACAGACTAGCAGCGACCCTCGAAGGCAGCACCTCCGAGTTCGTGCGTTACGTTTGAGCAGTTCCAATGAATCGTGCACGGAATCGCATAGCTCTTACCCCTCTATTAGTCGGTTGCTTGAGAGCGACCCTTCCTGATAGGAACGAAACCAACTTGCAGTTCTTGTGGTAAATAACCAAAAAGAAACAACTACCGAAGCTGTTGTTCGTTTGAATTCTCGCCATAGAGCTTTCACAAATGTTGACGTCGGGGCAATTCTATTGTTTCCTGGGGTGCCGTCACTAAGAAATCACCTATATCAAGAACATTTCACTCTTTCGCATCATAATCTATCGCGCTAAAATGTTTTGTCACTTTTTTCTGATTTGGGAAGATGAATTCAATCCCTCGCATTGACTATTCACCAAATGCGCACTTCGTTTCATGGAATCGTGCACGGCAAATTGTTGCATTCCGCTTTACTCTGTTCAGGTTTTTAAGTGTTCGCGAAGTGGGTTTTTGGAAAGTGTTCCTTTTCAGACCGAATTTTCATGGATGGACCTTCCACGCTGTAACAAGAGATCACATTTGAAAGCATTTAGAGCGTAAGGAATGCAACAATTTGCCATGCACGATTCCTTCGGGTTAGATTTCATCGCATGGCGATCCAAAAGCGTATGCTACAAGTTGCCGATAACACGTTCTTCCAATGCGTACCAATGCTGAACATCACCATATATTATTGTGGAAATGGTCATTATCAACAACCTGAATTGTTGTCGTTTTTTAAATCCTTTTTAGTAGCTTTCGCTTTGGTGATGTTTGAATCGTGTTGCCAGAATAACCCATTTTACGACACTAACACCGGTGTGCTTAGCAGTCTGTGGAAGTGCTACACCTTATTCATTTGAAAAAAAAATTGCGCAAAACTGCCCACTTTCAAGTCAGCAAAGTTACCGGAATATTCAGCATGGGTAAGGTGCGGTACGTATACAATTATCAATTTGTGTCTGTCTGAACAGGTAGAACTTTCTGTCGGTACATGTTATGCCGAAAACGAGCCTTCCCTATCAAAGTGGGCAGAAAAGGGGTGAATCCATCTGTAATTTGAAGCAACACCCTAAATCAAATTTGGGGGCCACAGCGGTTGATAATGAAAGTGTGGATGCCAAATTAACTGAAAATGGAAAAAGAAGAAAAAAAACGTCATTGAAGTCTAGAACAACCAAAATTCCTGGAAAAAGAAGGGAACGAACGAGTTGTGTCCGAACTTGTCTGCTCCATGGCCCGCTAGCACGCTCCTTTGAAATAGCCGCTACGCCGTAATCTACGCTGTGTGTTGAAAGTGTGCGCTCTCTCGAAATGCTAAGATTATCGCCAAGAATGCTGACATTGTAGAGCTAGCCCAATTTTTCGCGTTGTTGGAGGGGCGACAACGGCACATCTGCTGAAACTCGTGATGCTTACTGTAATCCCTACTCGCTAAAAAAAGACTTCTGTACGACTTTTTGTGGGAACGTCGTTATCAGGTAAAAAGGATATTTTCACGGAAAAAGCTCGCCTCCGATACCTTAAAGGAATCTTCCACGGAAAGAGTGATCATTTTGTCTTGTGTGTAGGATTAGTATTATCGAAACTAACGCTTATGTTCCGTTCTTTTTGCTATGCTCATGAGGCTAGGGGCCTAAGGTATCGTTTTTCTGTGGTAATGGAGGCGGAGCTTTTTCCGTGGAAGATTCCTTTAAAAGGTCGATGATTATTCCTGTGCAGATCAAGGTAGTTTCAAGCTAATCATGCATACATGGTCTAACATTCAGGCGCGATCGATCCTTTCCTGGATTCAGGTGTGAGCTTAACGCCTTGCATTTGACGCGTTTCGCCTATAGAAGGTGGGCTGTGTTATTTTGAGAGTTTTCAAGACTGCAGCGCCTGAATAGACTTTCAGTACAACTTTTGGCAAAAAGTTCAAAATTCAGGCCAGAAGTTCATTTTTAAATATTTTCTAGCTCAAGGCTTCGCAGATATCGTTCTACTATTTATAGATAGAAGAGGGTCTAATTAATGGACGTTATGCTATAAATGGAATTTTGAAGTATTCCACCCTGCACAAACATCGTCAAGCGTTATCGTCAATGCTAAGCACTCTGAAGGAGTTTCTAGACGCTAAATGAAAAAAGGGACTTCGCTGGCTTTGAAAGGGTATCTGTAATTGCGTGATCGTGCTACCAGTTTGCTTTTTTTTGCTTACCTTACCTTACAAATCACGTCGTGTGTGCAATGTGAGTGCACTCGATCTTGATCAATCTCATTGACGGATTCCATGTAATTTTAAGGCAACACAGAAGATCGGGAAGATGAGATGCAACTGCGAGCACATAAAAAAGCTCAGAACACACCAAGTGCGCCGTTACAAGGCACTGAAGTCGGTTTCAACGGTCAGACTAGTCCTGATGATGATGTCATCAGTACAGAGAGCCAAGTAAGAATTTTCATCTTGTCAATTTATATCAGGTGATTTATTAGGTCCGACCACTACATTATATTTGAGTTTTTTTTTTAATTGAGCATAAATTTTGCGGTGGTTTAACTTCATCTTCTCTACTGTCTGAAAGTGGCTCAATTCCACTTTTTTAAGTCTTCGTTTTTATTTGGTCACCCCTTCAAGTTTCTTCCAATTGGCAGGCATCCTTAGAGGCAGTAAACGCGATGGTTGGAGGGCGGAGCGGTTTCGATGACGTCACAGGACAGTATTGGAGAGCAAGGTGTCTTAGCGCGCTAGGGGATGTGGCTGGAACTACCTCCCAAGGACTCCTCCTTTCACGACTTAAAATAATTGGTTAAAAAGAAACACATAGCCTCCACATAAAATTCACGAATAGCATACCGCCTTATCAACCCTCTTCTTGGAACACCCTTCACGTTGTAGGTGCGGTTTACTATACCTTTTCAAATTATCAGAAATTTTCAGAACATTCCTTTGATGCGGGTTGTGATGTCAAAGAAGCAAACGAAACGAAAAAGCAACAAAATTCTGAAGGAAGGCTGGGTTGTTCATTACACAAATCAGATGAACATGGTAAGTTCAGATGTTTCATGGCCACTGAAAAAGAACTGCGGGTTCCCACCAAAGGTTCGGTCTTTCAAAAATCTTCATTCTTTTTGCAGAGGAAAAAGCATTATTGGCGATTGGATACGAAAAGCCTGATAATGTATCAAGATGAGAGTTCAACGCGTTACTTCAAGGTGAGACTACTCTCGTTTTCTTAAGGCACAACGATTCCCTTTCCTTTTTGTATTTTCTTCCGTGTTTGCTCCCGCCAATCCCTCTGTGATTTTTATTCGTTCACCATTTAGACGAAGTGATCAAAGATTTAAATTCTCATGAACGCCCTCTGTCAGCAGCTTCTCCTTCTCTTACTGGCAGTCCAAACTTGATCTCTTTGGTTCTTCCTAACACCGCTGTTTTTTTTTGCAATTCTGCAATTTGTGCAATTTTGTGTTTGTCCTCGAATTTCTTTTTTCTTTTTCTTTTTCTTTCGCATGCTTTTTTTTTCTTTCGCATTTTTTTGCTACTTTCTTCGTTTCTAGCGCTATCAGATCACGTCGTCAATTCTCTTCTGACAATGTCTCTTTTACAATTTTTTTTATTTTTCCATCGTTCTTCCATGCCTTTTTCATCATTTTCTTCTCTCTTTGATTCTCTTCTTTTTGCATTTGCTTTTTTATTTGTCTGTTTCATGAACTGTAATTGTTGTTCATTTATCATATCATTACCACTACGTGTTATCCCTTCTTCATCAATTTTGTGATGCCACGGTCACTGTTCAGCATTAAGACCATTCACTTTATTTGAAGGAAATTCCTCTGAACGAGGTTTTGGATTTGAAAAATGTGGACCACGAAACGCTCAAACGATCGAATACCCATTTCTTTGAAATTCGTACGCAGGACTGTACTTACTATATTGGTGAGTTTTTTTTCTTCTTTGCATTTTTCTCTTCTTTTTTTTCTTCATCTAAGGAGACTGATAACTGCCTCGTACGTCTAAATTATGGTAAGTATTTGAATAAAAAAATGCTTGTTTGCTTATGCTGATGAACCATTGCAAATGTAGAGAGTTTATCAATGAAGTAATTTGTTCACGTTATAATATTTACTTTTCATTGCTAAAGTGCTTCAAATATTGTAATACTCTTGCATTTTGCTCTCGAGATGTCCCTTTATTTCATTTGTTTGTGAAGTTCCATTACTTTTTTGAAAAACACTGCTTGCCAATATGACCATAGGTTTTTTTTAAAGAAATCGCTCAGTCCTGTAGGATTACATTACAATAATCTCGTCTGTAGTTTTGATTTTTAAATTATAATTCGGAACCTAAGCTGAGGATGAGCTATGATTAGAGAAGGGGTGCCTGTTTTCAGCCTCTTCGCGTACGTTTCTTGTTCCATCTTTCATTAGTTTTTTTGTTCATTTCACCTAGTGGGCTTCTGAAATCGTGTAATCTCAAAACTACAGCTGTAGGAAAACTAGACTGTCAATATGACCGTTCTCACGATGCGGCTCGTCTTGAAGGAGCAGCAGCATCTTTCTTTCACTTCAAATTATGAGAACATGGACGGTATCTAGGCTCCTCGGCTTGGCTTTTGCAAGTAGTCTTCGGCATAAATTAAGTCGTGTACGCCTTTATCACCTCTCAGCTTCACCTCATTTGAGTGATTCTTTTCTTGATATAGCGCTATGCCATGAGCAAGACTCTGAACGCTGATACGACCTCGATGAAGCTTACCTTTTTCACATGTCTTTTGAGTCTGCTGTTAGATCAGAACGGCGACATGGTCAATGTTTTCTTTTCCTGCAACGCGGTTGAAAGATCATGAGGAATGTGGTGGACTGAGTTTGCTGTCCATTGGCAAACAAGACAGAGGATGCGTCGTTCCACTCCCAAGCCTCGGTTTACAATAGTGACGTGACACGACGGGCAGTCTTCGCTGGACTGTTGTACAATGGTTTCATTGATTAGGTAGATTCTTTCCATTACATTGACAGCTTTTTCATGAAACTCTGAAGACTTCGCTTTCTTTCTTTAGTACCTTCTTTGATCGCAGCTTACTATGAGTAAAGGGATGCGGTAGTATTGAAACTCAGAGGTATGAAACATTCTGCGCTAGTCTCGTTGTGTCATTATCCTTCGGCGGTTCACACTCTGCAATTCAGCATAATGTTTATAGGACGGTAGAGATAGAGCCTCTAGTCGCGCTTTTGTTTCGTCGCTCTCTCAACAGCGCTTGAAGAAGAATCTTGTCAGCGATGGACGACAATAAAGCTCAGCCAGATCCGCGAACTTGAAACCTGACCGGACTTGATTATCCGTGATTTGTAACGACCCCACTCAATTAGCAGCTGCACCCGTTGTATCTATTACAATTGCTATTTTAGGAAGGTGTTGGTTGGAAGAAAGTCTCCATAAATTAAGCATGTACTCACTAACAGAAAATTTCATACCTGGCTATTTCCAGCTATTACTTCGAATCGTAGCGCTCTATAATGCAAAAAGCTTACTATTCGTCTGATCGCTGTGGGTCAGATAAAGCTGGACCCTCGATCACTCTTCCATGCATGCCTCTGTATTGCTCTCCTCTTCCATTTGAGCGAATATCTCTTCTGAAGCGAATCGGCGCTTCAATTTCCTGTGCCCTGATAAAAGGATAAAGCTTTCGGCGTTGATCATCTCGTTTTTGGGATGCGCCACGCATTCCACTTCCATTCAGAAAGGAAGAAAAATGCTCATGGCGCTATTCCTTTAGCATTTGATACGTTCAGATTGGTATGTGTGACCTTCACGTATCCGTTGTAATGTCCTAGCGCGACAGATGCTTTGTTCCAAGAAAAAATTCTATGTTTTCTTCTGTCCTCATTGTTGTTTCTCTTTTGGATCATCCCAGCAATAAGAATGGTCTTTTCCATCCTTTGACCCGTACAATCTTTGCGCGTAAATTCATACCGACTATCGAATACAGCACTTGGAGCAGGTGTTTGATACTACACTCCGCCGTATGCGTGCGTTTTACTGGCAGTTTTCCCAGGGTCATGTTCTGACTACATATTTTTCTCTTGTTGGACCAGCATATTTCCCCACTGCGATGTACAGAAGCTGTTTTATGCATAGTTTACAAAGCGTTCCACATAGGATGTGTACGATGAATTTAGGCCTTCTTAACTATTTTGACTCCGTTAGATTAAGTCACCTGTTTTAAATGAAACTAGTCGGAACCACAGAAAATCACATAAGAGTAAAGTGGAAAAAATCTTTCAAATGACATACGCGGATTCCCAGCTAATACTTTGATTTTGATTTTTTGAATTTGTATTGAATTCACACGCTCAAGAAGACGCTACGATATTATGTCCCAACCCAATGCTTACGCCAGCTTTCGTCTGTCTTTGAAAAGATGGCAGAGAGTGGAAGAATAGCTCTTTCAATGTGGATCGGGCAAAAAGAAGCAAAAACTAGACTTCGTCGTACGCTGGTTCCACCACCCCAAATGATTAAAGCCTAAAGGATGCGCCCACATCGGCAGAGCGAAATGCGGTAGATAACCTCGGTGAATCAGAATTTGATTGCAAAAGTTGGGCCTTCTCATGTTTCCATTTGGAATAGTGACGCATGAGTCACTTGTGTGGGAGTTCTCATTCCACTCATAGATTTGGAGATATTTTCTAGCTTTCTTACTATTTGGTGTGATTGCATTTGGTTGACTTGAGGACGGAGTGCGATGGGGAGACGGACCATTAGAAACCGGATAGAGGTGGAGTGGAGCAGCGATGAAGGAAAACCATGAGAGACCGCCCAAAACCCCAGCAAATGAAACCCTTCCCTGCCCTTCCCCACTGGTGGTCTCATCGTTGCTATCCTCTTCAACGCTAACGCTCTCAGCTAATGGCCAGAGTTGCACGGCGAAGGGGCGGGCAACGGCGCGAGAGGCTTGGCTACGGCTCCGCTATGCAGCCCCGCATACCCTCCGCTGCAAAACGCAGATCATCTCTTACCCTTAAGGGTGCTGCCTGCCTTCCGTCTAGGCATATTTCCCATTCCTCGACCTCCAGCCCTATCGTGGAATTCCCCTTACGGCCTAACAAGGAAACTTTTGCTCGGAGGCCGATCCCGCGGTAATCTTGTTAACTACGGTAGCCCAGTGCGAAGGTGTATAGATGCTAGAGGAGACAATATGTTTTATCACTGCAGCAGAAGTCACTTCAGCAGAA